CTACGAAAAGGAACTCGACTTACCTGTGGCGGCGAGCAGACGACCTGGCAAGAGCCAGGCTCTGATACCACTGTTGGGTGGTCGTCTGACTCGACTCGCCGGGCCCGGGCTGGCCCCAAACAGCAGCAGGTTCGTCCCGGCAGCTCCCAGCAGGTCCCGGCAACTCCCAACAGGTCCCGGCAGCTCCCTGTAGGCTCCGGCAGCAGCTGGTAGGTCTCGGACAGCTTCCGGTAGAGCCCGAACAGCTCCTGGTAGTCCCCGACAGCAACTAATGGACCCCGTACTGCTGTAAAACGTGCCCGAACAGCACCCGTGCTTCCTAACAGAGAAAAGAACACATTAAAGGACAACAAATGAAGCTATAATTATAGCTTATGCAACCGACGAGAGTTCGAATTGAGAACGACTACACCCTTTTACGTAGTAGACGAATTCGGAAGCCACACATGAAGTGTTGAATTACACAGGCTCAGGCCCCGTATAATAATACCCACGAGAATCACACAAGATACTAGCTCCGGACCATGGCCATTCGAATCACCCGCACCCGAATTTCGTTACTACGAATCCTCGTACGAAAAAATCCCCGAGATACTCACTAATAGAATACACAAAATACTCTCTGTTTTTATCTCAACTCTCTCTCTAACAAAGCACACAAAGCACTCTGTTTTTACCTCCCTCACAAAGCATTCAAAATAAGCACTCTCATTTTATGCCCTCTGTTTTTATCCCTATGCACACTAGCACTCACAGGTTCTCACATACACTAAGCACTATTTTGCTATTCACCCAGAACCCCTCACTTCCTTGTTTCTACAACTCACAGGCACAGGTTTTATACTTGGAGAAAACAGAAGTTGAGAGAAAAGAGGAGAGAACGGAACGACCGAAAGAAAAGGGATAGAAGCAATTTGAATTCAAACTTACCTAGGGTTTGAGAAGGAAGAGAGATTGGGGAACAACAGAAAAAATATTTCTGCCGCAAAAAGAATCGTACAAGGGCTTATATGCTATTAAGGAGATGGGCCAGTGGACCGGGCCTGTGGAGGAGTATTTCTTGGGCCATCCACAAAGGTCATTTGGGCCACAAAAAAATAACACTTTTCATTTTTAGTATGATCTCTCCATACACCTATCAAATTCACCAAAAAAAAAAAATTTTAAAAAAAAATGATAGACATGATTTTTTTTAATATGTTTTATGTTGTTTTGATTGTGTGTGTGTGTGTATATAATTATGTATGCATTTTTTTCAGGTGAAAAAAATGGATTTTACGAGTGATCGTAAAAACGGGCGGGGAAAAATCGAGATCAAGAGGATCGAGAACACGACTAATCGGCAAGTGACCTTTTGCAAGAGGCGCAATGGGCTACTCAAGAAAGCTTATGAGCTGTCTGTGCTTTGTGATGCTGAGGTGGCTTTGATTGTCTTCTCTACAAGAGGCCGTCTCTATGAGTATGCAAACAACAGGTGAGGTCATCATTATAATATATATATATATATATATATATATATACACTACAAAATAAATGTTATATTCCAACGGAAAATCCTATGGTAATATATTCC